TGAATTCCATGTTGGTGATTGTGTTGCTACTAAAAACAGAGTTCAGTTCGGTAGCATGCCATGACCCCTTGCATAAGACGGGCTATCCTTAGCTGGTATGTGTGATGTACGTAACTCTGTATGTACAATTCGCCTATCCGTACCTATGAACCCTTCCGTCACGCCCACGAGGTTATCATGCTGCTTGCTGTCCGTCATTTAGCTACAGTAACTACCCCCACTGAACTGGGTAGGTATCCGCAAAGCAGCGGAGACATGGTTTGTTGACTTGATCATCACCGTCCCTCCAGTTCGAACCTCTTCTCTTTCTCTCTCGCCAGTCAGCCTCATAATTCTAACTGACTCTCGGGTGGGCTCAGCGAAATGCGCCTTTATTTCAAAGAGTGTCTCGTGGTCTGTCTAGCCCGTCAAGCTATGCCTTGAAGAATCTAGGCTGCTTACTATCACGGCACAAAGAGGCTAAAACCACCGCGCGGTGGGCGCAGATTGCCAAGACGAGGCGTGTCTCAGGGGATGGATCCTGGCTACGGATACCTGGGATCAGCATAGCCATAGGGAAGAACAAGAGACAGACATGCTTCAGTTTGAGTGCCTATAATTGATACGATACGACAGCTGAGGAATGGAGTTTTACTCAGATCAGAATCAAAGTCAGCTCACGACGGGAAGACCATAAAGAACCGAGACGAGGAAACTAACTTTGGTTTCCATAAACTTCCCTAGACTAATCATCCGCATTCCATTCCTCTCTCTCTCAGTCTAATCTTGAGGCCGAGAGACTTATCTCAGGTGTTGTACGGATACTCACTCACAATCTCTCTCAGTCAGATCAGACACGGATGAGACGGAAGGAAAACCCCCCTTGGCCCCCACGAACAAGAAGAAAAGTGATAGTTGATGGTTTCATCGACAAGAAAAGCAACCCCCTTGGTGTCGCCATTTGATGATCAAGGAAAAGGTTCCCAAAGTGTCGGACCTGGCTGAGGTTCCTGGTTGGGTCTTATGCAGGTCAACAGATGTGATTGATCCATTAGCCAGGAACCAGAAACTCGTCACATTTTAACAGTTCACCAATGGGCTGTCAAGCTCCCCAGACTTGCATTCTTGACTTGCACTTATGCTTTCTTTCCCGCAAACCTTCAAGTTGAGGAACAGCATGAACGCACTGGGTAACTCGAGGCCGGGCCGTAATATGCTGAGATCTTCCCGGATCACCGAGCGGGCGAGATGAGCTCTTTGTCATTGGACTGATGATGGTATTGTTGGTCCGTGTCGTGGAGAAGCTCTAGGCTCTTTCGTTTCTTCGTAGAATCTTCCCAACTTGGACAAGTCAATGGGTTGAGAGAAGTTGCTTGGTTCATTTCATTTCCACCGACATCATCTCGATCAACGGTCGAGAAGAAGCGTGACTATCTAGACTATTTGTAGACCATCTTGATTGATGGCTGATTGTATATTCATGCTGTCACATAACGCTCAAGTGTTTGCTGTCTCTGCTGATCCGTGTGTTTCGTCGCGTGTATCAGCTTTATTGGTGAGGAATAGCCCAGGAGTCGACCTGAAGTATATACATAAGTCCCGCTGCTTCTAGAAGTACAACTCTCCGCTAAATTAGCCTGAGCTGTTACTTGCGTTGCGCGTGTAGAAAGAGTATCTTCATTTTACCTTTTATCCACCTCACCGTGCTGAGATGACTTTGTGCTCCACCTTGAGTTGAATCTGGTCGTCGATATCTATCGATCTTTGAAGGTGAACATGGATGATGACTGGCAGCCAACTGTACTGTACTTTGTTGAGGTGCTACTAATCATCGAGACAAGACCTGCTTGTCTACTAATTGACAGGTATTATACTAACTAGTCATGATTTGTTACCGACTTTTCTCAGCTTGATATTTTCTCTTAACTTTTTTTTCTTCTTCTTCTTTCTTTTCTTGGTTGACTGTATCATAACTGCCTATCCGTATAACCTTCCCTTCTCCTCATGACATGACACCTTCAACTCCACTCTCACCGTTCTCAGAGACCGCTCCTTAGAGTCTTCGCATCCCTGGCGTCGGGACTGGAATCGATATCCCTTTTTGGCTATTTGCGCATCCTTTCTTTCTTGCTCTACCGATACCATTCTTTCTACAATTCACTATTGTATCTTTTGCTGTCTTATTTTTTTTATCTCGCCAACCTCGGTACCTATTATCATCTCTCAAAAACCCCCATGTCGACTTCGCGTTTGGTACTTCCTTAAGTGGGATCGCTGCCGAAGAGAATCGCCAGGGGCATCTTGAATACAGGTTCATTCAAATCCAATTCAGCTTGGACTCTATCACCTTTAGGGCCTACGGAACCGAACACCGCGGAACAGATATCCTACTACAGGCCATCGATCGCTCTATCATCCGTTCTTTACAGTCTTGTTTCGTTCCTTTCTCCTTCACCAACAAACAATTCGAAATATATACCCCGACGGCGTTTTGCGACCAAACATTTACCTTATCTCGAAATCGAATCAAAAACCTTCGAAGTCGACCATTCGAGACTTGGGTCTGATCAGTCACCGTATTTTCGAGTAAACGTTGTCGACCGCTACTACGATATCCAGCGAGAACCCTACGTACTCTGTACCTTACCTGTCGTTACCCCTTGCTCCGCCCTTCAGTCTCCAGTCTCCGCTGTAAATCACTGTCGGGGCCCCATTGGATCTCCCCCCCCCCCGTACAGTTGAGTAAAGGTTCGGTCGAGTCAGGTCCAGTAGGTTCAAGGTAGATTTTTGACTACCTTAACCTACCTGTTGTACCTGCATCTGAATCCGAATCTCTCTGGCCATTCTACATCAGTTGCTGTAATGCCCAGCAAACCGGCAAAGGCAACCATGTCGAGCTCAAACTCTCCCACTTCGCAATCTTCCAACAATTACGTTGAGCAGACCGTCTCGGTACTGAGCTCGGTCGCCAGCTACATGCGTCTGCCCGCGTTGGCTTCAACGGTACGTCCTTGGCGTTCAGCCTCTCAGATTACTCTCTGGTTCACGAGAGTCCAAGCTGACATCAATGCGCAACTTCACAGGGTATCGCTGCCGTTCTCACCTCGTTACTATACTTTAAGCAAAAGTCAGTATATCTATCCGTACCACCGTCGCCTATCGCCGACGACCACTGTGGTCCCCCCAGCCTTCTCTTTCCTGTCGCTACTGTTCCATTGCTATCGACCGACCCGCATCATCATCATGCCGAGCCCCGCGCTAACCACCTACTTTAGGGCTCTCATTTACCCGAGCAACATTCCTGCAAATTCTCGCTCCGACGTTCCCAAACCCTCTGACTTTGGCCTCACAAATTTCGAAGAGCTATACATACCGACCGACGATGGCGAAAAGCTCTCAGCTTTCTACATCCGTGGCCCTCGTGGCCACAAGAACTCAAACATCACAATATTGATGTTCCATGGCAATGCTGGCAACATCGGCCATCGGTTACCCATCGCTCGCATGATTATAAACTACATTGGCTGCAATGTGTTTATGCTCGAGTACAGAGGTTACGGTTCCTCAACCGGCCAGCCTGACGAGTCGGGTCTTAATATTGACGCCCAGACTGGTCTTAACTACCTGCGGCAGCGGGCCGAGACACGCGATCACAAGCTCATGGTCTACGGGCAGAGTCTGGGTGGCGCCGTCGCCATCAAGCTTGTCTCCAAGAACCAGGAAACGGGTGATATCGCTGGTCTGATCCTCGAGAACACATTTCTCTCCATCCGGAAGCTGATCCCTTCCGTCGTGCCCCCCGCAAAATACCTCACCCTGCTATGCCACCAAGTCTGGCCCAGTGAGTCGGTTCTACCCAATATCACAAAGGTGCCTACGCTCTTCATCAGTGGCTTGCAGGATGAGATTGTCCCGTAAGTTGTCTATCCTTCCCACACCATTCACTCTCTATTCCTACCCTCGATCATGTGATGATCAAATTTGCATCACCCACAAAAGTTGAAGTACCCTCGTGGTCTTGATATGAAAGCAAATATCTTCTGATGATCCATCATGCATCCCCCTTTTCTCTGTGATCAACACAATGCAACACAGAACGAGAAGCTAATGCTCTGCAGACCAAAACACATGAAACAGCTGTACGACATTTCCGCAGCACCCACCAAGCGGTGGAAGCCCCTCCCTGGTGGCGACCATAACTCGAGTGTCCTTGAAGAAGGATACTTCGAGGCCATGTCAGACTTCATTGCTGAAGTGACAGGTAATGAAGAGAAAGAAAAGATACGTTCGTAGAGACTCGGTAACATCACCCTTGATATTCCATTTCAATTGCGCATGGCCAGCCTAAGTGAAGAGAAAAGAAGGAGATAGCATACGGGATAGCATCCAGCATAGCACTCACGATTGAACGAAACCTGCTTTTTCTGTATTAACAAACCTTTTTGCATCTACATACTACTTTCTTCTTCGAGTATAAATAATACACACACACTCATCGTTCGTTTGGCAATCGCTGTGTTCCTTGAGCCACCCATCCCCTCAAATGCTTAGAAAACTTGGAAGTTATGAGACATTGGTGAACCAAAATTAACTTTGTCTACCCGCGTGTGTGTGGTGTTGGTGGAGATCTAGTCCCATGTGATACCTCCATCAACTTGCAAAAGTGCGCTCGCGTGACGCGAAAAAATAACATAGTCGATGTTACATCTATGTCTTACATGCAAGTTTAATTGAGAAGGCCTCAATCCCACGAGGTTCAACGCTTTAGTCAATCTGTCATTGGGCGGCTTGGACTACAATATGCACAACATTGGAGGGTCTGAACACCCACACTCTCAAATAACGGGACGACCCTTACTTGTATCGGTTTAATCCAGGGTTTTCCAATGTCTGGGATAGTCATTATAGTTTTCTGTCTAATTCACGCTCACGCTTCCATTCAAGTGAGATATCTCAGTGATCTATGTCATTGTGAGACTCAGCATCAGCAAGCTGCAGTCGGGGGGTCAAGTGATTGCTTTTCAACATTCAACGTCCCCGTCGAGCGCAGCCCACACCTTTCCTGCCTCCGGCTGTGGTTTCTTCTTCTTGAGTCCAAGAAGTAGTCTGCGCCCAGGTTTAGCTTCTTCTTCGGCTGCGGATGATGATCCTGGTTTAGACGCCGCGCGTCCAGCCACGGCGCTCCATCCTCCAGCGCCAGCTCGGCGTGGCACCTCGCGACGAGTGATGGCGCCGTTGACATCTGAATGGCAGAGCAACACATTCTCGGCAAGCTTCTCACGTCGAATCGTCTGCTCAATTCGAGGCTTGAGGATTTCAAGGCCCTTCTCCAAGGGGGCAGGGGTTAGGAAGGCTGAGTATGCCACTGTAGCCTTGATAAGAACTTCATCGTTGAGAAAGTCAACCTTGAACGAGAATCCCTGTAGCGATGAGAGGTCCGGTGCAAGAGCTGCGTTGACCTCATCGTTCGTCAATCCGAAACGGGGCCCAAGGAGTACCAGCGCATTGAATGGCTCTGTCTCCAAAACTGGCGGGCTGGGTGGTCGAATTGCTGCCGCCGCCGCAGCTTCCGCAGCTTGTGCGGCTCGGATCTTGACAGACTGAGAGAGTGTTTTTGGCGGTGCCGAGACGAACTTATCCGCCTTCCAGACCACAACCGATCGGTGAATGTCGTGGTCCTCACTCTTACTCTCGAAGCCAAAGTCAATAGCAAGAAGGTGAAGAAACTGGCGTGAAGTGTTCTTCATAGGCTCATATCTCAGACGAACCTCATCCTTGTTGGCTGCAAAGACACGGAATTGGCTCTCTTGCTCATCGCCCCATTTGGGGAATTGCTTGTACAGCTTAAGAGTATCATCGGAGAAAGGGATGTGATCGTTAGTATGGGAAGCCGGGTCAATGTTAAGGGCTGCGGCAAGACGACGATTCCGGTCGAGGCGTTCGCATTCTTCGTCGCATCGAAGTTCCGGGCGGTTTGGAGTTGGGTTACTGGTGCTAGCTAGACATTTGAACTCCTTTTTATAATTGCCACAAGGGCATTTTACTGTCATCTTTACCTGACAGGCTGTCGATTCGTTACAAGCTGGGCAAATGTTAGTCTGTTTCTTGAGAGGAAGGGCGGATATTGGCTTACCAGTCTGACCATGACAGACACTCTGGCACGGGTGACCGCAAAGAGGCTTCGGCTTCCCGCAAAGCTGTTCGCAGCCATCCTGTGCATCTCCACACTCTCCAGAACGATGGCATAGTTTCTTGCATGTATGGAGGCCGCAAGACAACTTCTGCCCGCACACCTTGCTGCAGTGGACTTGCTGAAGGTGACACGGCTTATTATGGAATGTGGTTTTCGTGCACAAACAGGTTTTTTCAACGAGATACACGCATGGTGGACAGTCCACATCATCGGGGTGGCACTGATGGTCGACGGGAGGATGTCCACAGCTGGGCTGTCGTCGACACTTGTTTGTGCAAGAAGGTTGACGAGTACCACAAGGTTGTGGTGGATGAAGAACAGTAGCGCCGCAGCCGCAGGGAATTTCCTCCCAAATGGCCTCTGGGCAGCTCTGGCAGGCTCCACGGTGACATAGCTGTTCACAACGGTGACTACCGCACTTTAGTGGTCTGCCACAAGTCTCGACACATATGTGCTCGGCTTCGACGGGGAGTGCGTCGGGGCCGAGACGTTGCTTCTTCTGCTGAGCAATCCGCTGAAGAGCTTTCTTTTCTCCTGGGCAGCAATGCTCACCGCAACGATGTCTTCCACAGTTCCTGTTTGCCTGGCATGTCTTGAAGCACAAGGGGTTTTGAACTTCTGCTCCGTGACACATCGTCTCGGACGTGACACGGCCACAGCGGCAATCGACTTCCATGACTTGTGTGCAAGGGTTGCAATCACCAGTATGGCAGAGGGATTGACAGAGATGGCCGCAGTCCAACTTCTTCTCGCACTTCCTTTCGCAATGGGGAATAAGGTCGTCGCAGGACTGGCGAGGGTGGTCCATGAGTTCCTTCAGTGGTGTCTTCCCGCAAGGGCAGTCGGTGACAACGTCTGGGGAGAAAGGACAATGAGCTGGGAGCTCATCTTGTGGGTGGCAAGGCAGCTGACAACGATGGATGCTGCAATCATAGGTTCTTTCGCAGGTATTTTCACAAGCGAAAGAGCCCTCAAACCAAGACTCACTGGCATCATCGTATGAATCGCACAAGTCGTCCTGCTTATAACATTGCATCTCCTTCTCGACTCTCCCACAGTAACATTTCGCCTTCACTGTTACTTCGCAAGTGCCACACACACCTGGATGGCATATCTGAGAGCATTCGTGTTGCGAGCAAGGAAGCAAGTCGCCACAAATCTCTCTGCAGCTCCATCCGTTGTAGTAATCTGTATCTCTACAGTTCTTTCGCTGAGAGTTCTTTCCACAATAGCACGGCTCCGGTGGGCTAAGGACGTTGCAAGGTGGGCAGGGGCCAGGGTGACACTGGAGAGTGCATGGATGGGAGCATGTCGACCTAGGTTTGGAGCAGGTCTGCCCACAAGAGTGAGGGGGCAGGATGCTATTCCGACTGGGATTCGTTTCTTTGCCACACCAGCACGAACTATCACCAGGCTCGTCGGTCAATGTTGAGTTACATCCAGGGCAACGCCAGGACCTATCACCGCTCTCTTCATTGATCTTCATAGAAGTATCCCACCATTGATGAGCACATTCAAGATGAACAACAGTCCAGCAGGTGCCACAAGACCAAACCTCGGTTTTTCGGGTGACCTCTTCGGTGCAGATTCGACACTCGTAGTTCCAATTAGCAATATCCTCCTGAATTCGTTGCCAGAGCTCAGAGGCAGTAGACTTGGGAACCTCTTGACGAGGTCTATCTTGCTTCCGATTCCGCGTACGATTACCCCTTGAACGAGGCTGGGCTGCAGCTTGGGATTCACCCGCACCCGAGGGTTGCTGTCCATTCCTGTGATAGTTAGTTTCTGGCCTGTCTTCCGCCTCTATAATGAACTGCTTACCTTCTTTGGGGTACGGGCTGTCCGGGGACGAATTCTGGGGCATTAGCACGCAAAGATGCGTCCTCGTCAGCTGCGTCTGGTGGTTGCTCATTCGTTGTTAGCCGGCCACCGAATTGTCGTCGGGGCCCCATTGTGAATACACCTCTCCCGTGCTCAACTGAACCTCGGGCGCCCCCTCGGTTGCCTCTTCTATTGCGTCTGTTTCTAGAGTTTCCTGAGCTTTCAGGTGCGTTGGAAGCTGCTGGTCCTGTAGGGGCAGTTGTGGGTGCTGTGGCGACTGCGGCATCGGCAGAATCTGTCTGGGAGGCATTTCCACGTCCTCCAGATTCCTGTGCCGAGCCATCCTGCCGCTGGCCACGGTTCCGCCCTCCTCTTCCCCTACGACGTCCCCCACGTGAGCCTCCTCGAGATCCTGAAGCTGGTCCTTGACCCTCATTCTGGGGACGGTTTTGAGTTTGTGGTTGTGCCTGATTAGAGGCACGGCTGGGCTCCTGCTCGGCCATGACGGCGTAGTATGAGGCAGTCAAATGAGACCCTATCGATGGCGAAATGATTGCGCTGTGTAAAATATAAAGCGTCTTCAAACAGAGAAATAATGATCACGAAGAACGATGGTCTGACAAATGGACTTGCAGAAGGAATAAATGCTTTGCACGATTAGGAGCTGACGTTGACAGTCCTGCTGCAGTGGCAACCGTTAAAGATAGAGATGAATGGAGGAGGAAAGGAAGCTCTCGAGGGGAAAGAGGAAGGAATATGATGATATATCAGCAACGCTTCCAATAAATTCTTTGAGAGGCGTTGAACTTGGTGGAGCCTCTGTCTGTTTCCGTGTGGCAAAACAAGCAAGCATTGGCTGGACAATTAAAGTGTCAGAATGACTCATTGGGTAGGTACCTACCTAGGTAGTAGGTAGGTATTTTGGGTCTTTGCAATTTCACAGGATCACTCTCAGTGGTCGGGGACTATCTATCTATCTCGAAATGCACTGCTTTAGCGAAAGTAAAAGAGTCATCAACTCTGAGTCGCTAATGTATTTTTCATATCTGCCTAGAATTCCCATCTGCTGGTGTGTCTCGATTGTGGCGCATACGATATATGCAAACAGCCACATTGCATCAGTACACATGGCAGGGCAAACATATGAACTGGGTTGATGAAACCACAGCAAATTCAGTAGCCTTACTGGCCGTAAATATATGCAGTTTCAAGTGCATTCGACCAACCAAACACGAAGCTTGTTGCGCTTCTCCTAGTATTTCTTGGGACGAAGTCTAGGGTAGCTGCAGTAGTAACTGGGAGTTATCTTGCCGTCAGTGTTAGAAGAATTGGCCACTACTAGTATCCATAAGAGACGAAATAAGTTGGTCACTTTATGCTAGCTTAGACCAGCAGTTAGGCCTTAGTAACAATTCTTCTGTTGCCCGCCTGCCTGCCAGCTGTACATAGGTACAAGGAAGTACCGTAGAAACTTCAATTCTTTCATATGGAGACTTGTAGCCCTCAGTTTGCTAGAAATGATCGCGTAAGATACTTCAAGGTCTTTCAGTGAATATGGCATGCAAATAAAGCTCCATACTGGGTCGTCAAAGTTTTGAAGGGCATATGTGAGATACGGAGTACTTACTGGTTATACCAGTTCAAATTCGTGTCTTCAGTCATCCAATCTTTTTGCTTGAAGTTTGTGCTGTAAATTGTCTATGGCCAGTCAGTGATTCTGCTTCTGGCTGTTGACCAACCACGTGTAAGAGAGCCAAGTCGGAGGAAATTCACTGTCTCGGTGTGCCTAGGGCAGAATATCACTGAAGCTTGGTTTCTACTAGAGATCATTGCAACCAAAGATACAGAATCACAACTCCAAAGAACTCTTTCGTGTTTCTCAATACTTTTTCCTGACAAATATTTTCATGGTTGGCGGCTCACCTCGGGTTTAACAGCCCAGCGAAGCTCTCCACAACCGAGACTCAAGCAGAAGCGGCTCCTCGTTAGCTATTAGTTAGTTTACCCGCACATGCGGCACAAGACCAGGGGATAAAAGGACGAATACCATGGATCTCGGCATAAAGGGCGATGCAAGATTGATCACGTTACATGTATGTGTGTAAGTTGCTGTAGAGAGATCCCGATCCATCCAATTCATCGGGAGAGGCCGGGATATCGGTGCCGGCTCCGGGTGCCCGTCTCTCCACAACCCGGCATGGTATGGCTTCACGACGGTTGCTCCCAGGGACCAGTTTAGGAATCAAAGACCCTGGGGATTTGGGTCTAGAGGGTCGTATTGGAGATTTGATAGCTGCACCCTCTGTTTCTAGTCGTTGTTTAGTTGAGTGACGTCTGATAGAGAAGGCATTGCCGCTGGAAGAAGTCTTCTGGAATAGAGTCCCACTCCGGGTTGATCGTTCTTGTGGCGTCCAACGCTCAACCCATTAAGAGGATCAGGCTGGACTAGCATAATGAGTGGACAGGGACAGATGAAGACTGAATAGCAATGGATCTTTGAGCCCCCAATATCCGTCTGGGGTATGATGCCCCGTGCTGGAGAAGATGGAGAATAGCTCTCGGTATAGTCTCCAAGTCCCCGCAATCCCCGGGATATCATCTCACGAGCTTCACAAGTGACAATTTGTAGCTAGGTACCCATAAGAGATAGCGTGGCGTCAGCTTGTCTCCAGGACACGCCCCCTACGATGAATGTATGTTTACTCTAGACGGACAACGTCCGAAAGTCCCCATGCTTCAGCTGCACTCTCAATTCCAGACCATCGGTCAATTGCAGGTAACCACGTCGAAATCAATGGAAATCCAACAACTCACCCATATTTTAGACCTTTCATCAACATGACTATCTAGTATAGGACATCGAAAAAAATGATGCAGTCAAGTATACAGTGGTTTAATCCGGGGTTAGGAGCTATTATGGTAACACAACGGAAATGGTTGAGGTGAGGTGAGGTAGCAAACAAAAGATAGGCTGTGCACGTGACCTCAACATTGGAAATTTCCTGTTCGGCGCGGGCAAATTGAGAGCGAGAACAGGAACAGCATCACCTCAACCCACGACAGGTCGCTCCCATTTCCGATATCCACGGCGTCGCTCATACAAATCAATCAAAATGGCTGCTCTCATCAAGGCTGCGAACGCCAAGATCCGGTCCAACCCGGTATCTGACTACATCTGCTCGACCCGTACGTCTCAACGTCCTATTATGCTTTTTGCATGAGCTCCGATACCTCTCCGAAAGCGCAATTTTGTGACATCGCAACTCAACATCCAATTCAAAGGCGGCAAGACATAAAGAAGCATGCTTAGGCATGGGAAACATGTGCAAGATGTTGCTGTGCTTTTGTGACATGCCAATTGGGTTGCTGCTGGTTGTGTTTGCTGATGCGCTCAATGCTTCGAGAATACGACAGCTTTGGGGTAATTGACATGCGAAGATGTGAACTGACATTTTCTTGCAGACTTCTGGGGTCCTGTCTCCAACTTTGGTATCCCTCTGGCGGCCATTATGGACACACAGAAAAGCCCTGAGATGTATGATAATCCCTGCCTTGATCTGCCTGCAAGGCTCACGACTAACTTGCATCCGTTAGGATCTCGGGACAAATGACCGGTGCTCTCATCATCTATGCCGGTACCTTCATGCGATACTCCCTTGCTGTCACACCCAGAAACTACCTTCTCTTCGCCTGCCACTTCGTCAACGCCGGCGCCCAGCTCACTCAAGGATACCGATACCTGAACTACCACTACTGGGGCGGAAAGGAGAACATGCCCAAGGAGCAGCTGGCACAAGCGGCCCAGGCTGCTAAGGGCAAGGTAGAGAAGGCCACGGAGAAGGTTCAGAACGCTGTCAGCAAATAAAGAGGGTGCTAAACCGACGGTCACTGGGCGGATCGGTGTGTCGGGCTGCATGCCGTCCATATAATGGGAGCGCCCCCGGGTTGGGGGCTCGGGATTCGGAGAGTGCCATGAGCACACAGCTACCGCACAATAACTTTGTACCTTTACAAGAAATTGTTCCCTCGATCATCTAGAATCGCACTCCGAGCCGGGATACCTGCAGTACTTGCACCCAGAGAGGTGCGATCGCGTTTTGGGGACCCTAGATCAATCAAAATGGTTAGAGTAAAGACGCTATCCTGTCTCAAAGTGCCACAAGAGCGTCACGAGCAAACGGTGGAGAGATGCTATTCCCCCGCAAAACGGAGATTAAATGAGGTTCCCCGGAGGCGCTCCCGAGATGCTTAAGCCATGGTAAGAGCAATAAGTGACTTGAGTATGAGCACCTATGAAACAAGTACCTACTTACCTAGGTACCTAGGTACCTATCTGCCTATCTGCCTATCTACCTCCTCGCCTGTGACCTGTGAACTGTGCCTGTGATTAAAAGACTTTAATCTATGTCAGGCCCTCAGTATGTTTCTCGGCTGCAGCTTGACGTGAGTAGGCTCGAAACATACACACAAACCCCAGACACTTCAGACCCTACGTAGGCACGTAGCTCCTAACTAGTGTCTTCCGTACGGACAAGATAGATCTGAGCAGTGGAGCCGCCTCAGACCCGAATCTTGCATGCAAAGTCCCGAATGTTTTCGTGCCTGTGCCTGGCCTTCCCTCTTCGGGACCACAACGTGACGAAATAAGGTCAAGGTGAAGCAGAGACTAGGGACAGCTAGCTGACACTGATCAGCAAATCCAAGGTCAGGGTGCATACCCCGGCCTTTGTATGGACAAGATTGGTAATGTTCTGGTCGGCTTCTGTCCGTGAACGTGCAGATGAAATTCAAGAAGTCGTCGTCCTGGAGTTGCTCGGAAAGACTCGCTCTTTATTACCAAATCATTACCGGAACCGCTTGTTGCCTTTTCTAGCCGCGTTTCGGTTATAGAAGTAAATTGTATCAAATTACTTCTTTGTAGCTGTCATGACTTACGTCGTAGCTTGTAGCTGAGGATATGAACTGTTTAAAGCAGTTGCTGGATCGAAGCAGTGAATGATCTGCTAACATAATGTTGAGTATAGTGAATCAGAGGCCCACCTTGCTTGTCTCACACTGCTTCTGGGGTGACTATCGTAGCTCGAGTGTCAATACAAAGACAGCCTCCTGTAATAGGCTTCAGATCAACTCCAATTCCCTATTCGTATCATTGAATTCGGTATTCGTGAGGGGAAAACGTCAGTGCTCCAGACCTTTTCGGCCGACAAGTTCATCGGTACCTACACACCGTACACCGAAGGATCAACCTCGAACCGAGGAATGCCTTCCTATTTGGTTTCTCTTCAGCCCTACTCCAATCCGGTCTTTCGATTTGTATCAAATCTTATTCAATCGTTACTACAGTATCGAATCAGCGGCTCGGAGGGGTACACCGAAGACCGAAGTCGGAGCTAGCTCGCTTTCTCAATAATAGCCTAAGAATTGTAGCAGGTTATTGCTTGAACCCGGGCTTCAGGTGGAAAGAGCCTGTTTGTTTTACAAAAAACCAATTGTAAATGATTTT